AGCCATTAAGTATCTCTCTTTGTTGTTCTCTGGAAATGAAAATTGTACGGGCACATCAACAAGAGGAGGGGCTGGAGCCATAACACAGTGGGTAGGGCATTTGCCTTGCATGCGGCCAACCCGGGTTCAATTCCCCAGCATCTCATATGGTCCCCTGTACACTGCCAGGAATAATTCCTGAGTGCTGAGCCTGGAGTAACCCTTGATATCGCTGGGTGTGACCCAAAAATCTAAAAAAAAAAAAAAAAATCAAAACCCAAAACAAACAAACAAAAAAAATCAGTAAGAGGATATATTTGATTGCCAGTCTCCTTTTTGTGTGTTTGTGTCTGTGTGTGTGTATTTGTAGTGGAAAGAGAAAATAAAGGGAAAAGCCAAAATGATAGAGTCCCCCTTAGACAGCAGATGAGAATAAAGAGTCCCGCTGGAAAAATCAAAGCAAAAGGAAAAAATTTAAATATGAAACCAATCAAACTAAAGAAAACCAACATTCTTACAAGTCCCAAAATAAAGATATAAAATATAAACAAAAATAACAAAGTGCAGGGGCTAGAGAGAGTATAGTGAGCAAGGACTGGCCTTGAACGCTGCCAACCTGAGTTTCCCTCAGCACTGCAAGGAGTGGCAGGGGGAAAAAAACATCTTTCAACTGCTGCCTGGGAAACTGGTCCTGGATTACTGCCTCTATTTACAGACTCGGATGTAGAAGCGATAAATTCCGCTGTCAGCGGAGGGCCCACAAGCCAAAACTCAACAATCCAGAGCTCAGTTTGATACAAATACTCTGCTCAGCAACCCAGGTCCTCCTCAAAACAACCTCCAATGACTCTACTTCGACATTGGGGTGAAGTGTGAAGGGTTAGGAATCTGGTGCAAGTAGCTGCTGGAAATTCAAGTTCGTTAAACCGAAATGTGGAGCGGGGCGGGTTGGCGCAGGCTCCCAGCTCTCCCTCAGGAAGCAGCAGTCGGGGTCGCCGGCCACCTTGCCGTATTTATGCTGCTCTGGGTGTACTTACGTGGCTCAATTCTGCCCCTCAGGTTCTCAGAGGTGCTGCAGAGCTGCCCGTCACCCCCCAGCCCTAGACAGAATTGTCCTTCTGATCATCCAGGGGCCGCATCCCGGGTCCATGCTCCCAATCCCCGGCCTCGCGGCCCCGCAATGAACACTCCAATGAGGCCAGAGGCCGCTGGGGACCGCAGCCATTCCTTGGCCCAGGCATGATGCAGATATTCTGTCCTCCTGCTCTGGACAGACCGGAAGGCGCGGGGCCAGGCTCCCAGCGAGTGTGGCCGGCCTCGCCCCTCTGGAGCGCGCTTGCCGCCTCCTCCTCCCCGAGCTAGGCAGCAGCAGCGGCGCACGGTCCTCCGCAGTGCGATGTGGCCTGAATGGGGTTTTACGACCCACTATCGGAAAAGGGTCTCTCCGGAAGAGCAGGGACCGGAGTCAAGCTGTGATTTGCGAAAATTCACTGGGTTAGGAGACGCTCTCAGACGCCCATCCTCTGCTCCAGGGCCTGTTTAATCCCGACGCTTGGGAAATCAGCTCCACCGCGCTGAGTGTGCTGGTGTAAACGCTGAGTGCCAGCCAGACTACAGATTGGGGTCGGGGCTGTCCCATTTTGCAACTGGGGGACTGATTCCAGGGTTCCGCAGAGAGATCTGTATGACTGGATGCCACTGCAGAGCCATTGGTGGGGAGGAACAAGTCCCCAGGCCCTGATCGGACTGTCCAGTTCTGGTGGAAGGCTTGGCTTGATGCCCTGCTCTGGGCAGTGAGTCTGTGGTGCGCCCCCGCGATCGGGGACGTGGGAGATTGTCAGTCCTTGTGTGCCACACCAGGCACCTCCATTTTGAGGCTGGGGACGCAGCAAGGTCGCCTCCCTAACTCAGAGCCTGGCACTCCCTAGCGGCAGCCGGAAGCTGGAGGGATTGGTGGAGAGCGGGTTCTTGGAAGAGGGTTGGAGGAGGTGGTGCTGAGCCCCCTCTTATCTACCCCATTTAGGCCCCTGGGCCTCGCACATGCCTGACAGGCTCAGCCTTTTCGTGCAAGCCACAAAGGGGTCCATGGGAGAGAGGGTCCTGAGTTGGTAAAGGAGGCCCACAGCCTCACATACCAGCACCCCCTTTTCAGTCCAAGAATACTTTATAGAGACCCTGCTGAGCATTTTCAGGGTTTTATTTGGTTCATTTTTTTTTTGAGGGGTAAGTAGGGGAAGTTTGGACCACATCTGTCAGTGCTCAGTGCTCACTCCTGGCTCTGCACTCAAAGATCATTGGTGCTGGGATTGAACCTGGGTCAGTGGCTTACAAAGCAAGCGCCTTACCCTTATCTCTCCTGCACTATCTGCAGTTTATAGACATCCTCTCTGCCCTTTGGTGCAGCCCTACAAAATGAGCGCTATGGGTTCATGTGTATACATGAGCAAACTGAGGCACGGGAAAGAAAGAAACCATTTTAACACAAAGGGCTTCAAGGCCACTCTTCAAAACAACGTTGCTTATTTTCAGCACCTATGCTTTCCTCTTACTGCCCCGTGCCTGGAACATCCCCAACAGAACTGTGACCCTGGAGGCAAGTGCAACCTGGAAAGAGGTAGAAAGATGTAGGGGTGGGGGTGGGTGGGAGGGGAGGGCTTTCCTCCAGAATACTCACTCCACCAGCAGCCTGACTGATGTGAAGGTAATGCTACTCTTTATCTTTTTCAAAATGTTTCCTCAGAATGGCCTTTAGGAGAATGTGTCCTCAGATCAAGGGTAAAATGCACCTTGGCTGAGGGTGTCCTGGAACCAAGGTGCACAGCCTTGGCATCAGTGTGAGATCTCCCATTTGTTAATCTCTACCTCCCAGTGACAGGGAGGCATATGGGTGACCCAGACTAGGAGGAATTCTTGAAGAATGACACCCCAGGTTTCTTAGTCCCTTAGCAATCTGCCCAAATTGAAATGAGAATGGGCAAAGGTTGAAGAATCTTTCTTTCTTTCTTTCTTTCTTTCTTTCTTTTTCTTTGTCACACCTAGAGATGCTCAGAGGTTACTCCTGGCTCTGCACTCAGGAATTACTCCTGGAGGTCCTCAGGGGATCATATGGGGTGCCGGAGTTGGGCGCTTGCAAGGTGAACGTCCTATCCGCTGTACTATCACTCTGGGCAGCAACACATTTCCCTGCTTAATTGCCAATACTTCTAATTATATAGTACAAGAAAACCATGTTGTATTTATAAAAGTGCACTTCCCAGGGCCAGAGAGATAGTACAGCAGGTAAGGCACCTTCCTTGCATGGAGCTGACTATGGTTTGCTCTCCAGCACTTCAAGCACCGCTCGGAATGATCCCTGATTACAGAGTCAGGAGTAGCCCCTGGGCACTGTATCAATGGTTGTGGTCCACTCCACCTGCAAATACACTTCCTGACAAAGAGTTGGAGCTCATTTCTCCCAGGCTGAGGGGTTCCCCACTCCCTACCACCTGGTGGAGGATAAGATTTGACTGACTTCCTATGGGGCTGTTCCTTTGCATTTACCGGTATCCACAAGCAATATGTACTTGTCATAGTGCAGAGTGGTAGAGGGCAGGACACAGAATTCACAAGTGCCTGGGCAGAAAGAGGGGTGTCAGGTAGTGAATGTCACAAGCATGGTCTTGGGGTCCTTTAATTAGGGTGTATGCAAGCTTAGGGGTCTGATCTCCTTTACTGGGAGCCCTGCTATTTCCCTTCCTGAATTCCCACCTGGTTGCTAATGCTCCCAGAGAACCCACAGTCTAAGGTACAGGGTGTGTATGATTTACCTCAGGTGGGGGCTGTGATTCCTACTGCGGCCCCCATGCCTTGGCAGGCAATGGCCTAGACTAAGGGGTCCATGGCCATCTCCGCCACACCAGGGTTCCTGCATCATGAAGACCTTCACCCTGGGCTGCTCCATGCTCCAACACGTCCAGCTGGCGATGCCAAAGCCACCCATACTCCACCAGGTCCTAGAGCTCCAGTCTGCGGGTGGGGGAGCCCCATCTCCCACACACCCTGGGCTCCTCGAGCCAGCAGCGCTTGACGGTTCCTTTTCCCAGGACGGAGGCTGATGTGGGTCCTTTCATGGAGGGGGTCTGTCAGCCGCGCGCCGAGCTAGGGACACGGCATAAACACAGGCCACGGGCGGACGCCGGCGCTGGCCTCCGGGTCGCAGTCCTGGGGTTCGGGATGGCGGCGGGAACGTAGCTCTGGTTTAGGGGCACACTGGGATTGCCTTTCTCCGCCCGGCGCGGGAATTTGGGGGCTCGGCGACCCTCCGCCAGGCAACGTTGGGATGGGGGGGTGGGGAAAGGCGCGCGCGCAGTCCAGGGGCTCCGGCAGGAGCGGAGCGGGCAACGGGATGGAGAAAAGTGGCCGAGAGAAAGGACAAGGATCAGGCTTCGGGGAGCAGCGCGGACGGCCAGGCCGGGGGAAGGCCGCGCTGCCGAGCGAGAAGACAGGGCCCTGGTGGGAACCGAGCGAGTGGGATCGGCCGGCTGCACCCCCCCCTCCGGGCGAAACAATGGGGACGGCCCAAGGGGACCGGCAGGGGCGCGTGGACCCGCTGAGTTCAGCCTTGCGCCCCCGCCTCAAGCCCCAGCCGGTGGTCACCGACGCGGGTTCCTCCACTTCCCGGCCTGTCCAAGCGCCCCGATGCTTTTCTGCGCATCAGCCGCGAGGGACTATAGGGGCCCCAGGGTCCCGGCGCCCGCACTCCCATGCCTGTCCCCGCCACAGTAACCGCCTGAGACGCATCTGGGCTGAGCGACTGACGAGCGCGAGGCAGAGAAATGCCCATCTCTCCACTCGCAGTGGCCGCTTTGTCCCCCGCACTCGGCTCGGTGTCCAGCACACAATAGACGCTGGGAATAAATAAGCTCCGCGGAATGAATGACTGACGGAAGCTGAAAGCGTGAACGTGGGGAGCGCCAGCGGGAGATGCAGGCGGCCGCAGGCCGAGCCCCGTTGGTCGGGGGACCCCCGCGGCGCCCTCTTACCTCGCACCAGAATGCGGCGGCAGTGGTCGGTCTCGTGCACTTCGTGATGCCCAGCGCACTCAGCGCCGCTCTCCGACGTCCCGGTGAAGTCCCTCCCGCTATGTCCCCTCGTTCCGCCGCGGTGCCCGCTACAGTGCCCGCCGCGGTCGCGCTCGGCACCCCCATCACCCATACCGGCCTCCGCCACCGCCTGCGCCTCAGCGCGAGCCGCAGGGGCTCCCCGGCCCGCGGGGCCCAGGCTCGGCTCCTCCCCCAGACCCCGCCCCGCGTACGGCTCCTCCCCGCCTCCTGATTGGGCCCCAGGCGGGGTTCCAGGGCGCTCGGCGACGCTGAGAGTCTCGGCCCCCACCGGCAAGGGGCGGGGAGGGGGGAGCAACCCACCCTTAGCCTAGCTGGAGGGAACCGGATGGGGGCGTCCCTAGGGCGCTGCTTGGCCTCCCCTAGAGTTGATCAACTCCATCCAACTTCCAGCCTATCCCCCCACCTCCAGCCCCCACCCCCTCAATCTCCGCTTCTGTGTCCCCGTGAAAGCACAGCTCGGGGAGGGGCTCTCTCTGGCTGTTTTCAGCGGGAACCAGGACCCAAGTGCGCCAGCAGAGTGATCCCCGCGACACCAAGCAGAGAAACCAGAGGTTGGCCTTGTTCTGGGTGGGGTACTGGAAGCGGGGGCGGGAGGTAAGCCTGGGGTTCAGCGCTTCACGCCCCCTTCCCCACTCTTCCCCACACCCGCACCCCTGAGCGCGCTCCCAAAGGTCCTCTGCGCGGTACTGGGCGAGCAGTTCCGAGAAGGATCGGAGCCCCGAGGAGAGGGCAAGGAGTGGGGACGGGGTGTCGGGCTGGCGCGCGGCTAGGGAACCGACGAGCGCACAGACCGCTGAGTCCGAGGGCGAGAGGGGAGAGCGGGGGCAGAAGCGCGGTTCCGTAGAGAACCCCCCATACAGAGTCAGCACCCTAGACAGAGGCGGCCAGTGGGCCTTTCCCGGCACCCTGCGCCCTGCGGAGCTCCCTTCGATCGCGGCGCTGTCTCGATCTTGCCTCCCTGCGCTGCGGAGCGGGGAAGCGGGGCCCTAAGTGCCGCAGGGAGGCGGGTGGGGTCTCGCAGCCCAGCTTGGGCTTTCCCCGCCGGAGTTGAGCGCCTAGCTCACAGGTCCCCCCACCTCCTTCGTGAGGTTAACCTGGACTAGTTTCTCCAGGGAGAGGACAGGCCCGGCTCGCCCTTCCCGGGATGCAGAAAGATGGAGACCCAGGCGGCGACGTGCCTGCGAAAGGGAGCTCGCGGGAGGGCTGCGACCCTGGGCCAGCGCTCGGCGTCCTCTCTCTGCCCAGGGGCTCTGGGGTGCGCGTCGGGCTGGAGTTCTTGTTGGGAGTGGGGGTGCAAGCGCCACGTGTCGGGCGTCGGTTCTGTTTCTGTCCCCTGCGCGCTGTGAGAGGAACAGGGTGCCCTTGTGTACCGGTGCCTTAGTGCTCCCGCCTTGCCTGTCCGGGAAACCGGGCGGAGTGACAGTATCCAGTCTCAGATGGCAAGTTCAAGGCAAGGAGGACAGAAGCGCCCGGGTTTTATTAAAGGCCTCCCCCCCACCCCCAACCCCCACCCCCCCAAAAAATACAACAAAAAATCAAGGCCTTTTCCTGCAGGTTTGAGACGGGTGGGTAAAAGGCGGAGATAAGGAGGAGGGAGGGAGGCAGGGAAAGAAACTGGGAGTGAGGAGGGAACCGGCCAGGTTGCTCCAGGGGGATGCAGAAAAGGACGTGCCCAGCGGAGGCAGCTGGGAGTTCCGCCGCGCTGGAGACAGGAGGTTTAGTGTTAACTCAGGGCCCTGGGGAGCCGTAACCCAGCGGTGTGAAGGAGCCAAGCATCTGCACCCCCAGCCCAGGCCCTAGAAACGTCCGAATGTTCAGTAACTGTCCAGAAGGGCCTCCACTCCAAGGCAGCAACGCGCTGACCACCCAGCTTCTTGGCACAGCCCTCTGCTCTCCTCTTTGGGTCTTCCCAGTTAAACCGCGTTTTTTATTTAAGAACCTCCCTAAGCCCTAAGCTCTTTCTGTCCTGCCACTACTCTCTCCCACAGCCCCCAGATTCTGTTTGAAGAAAAATGGAGCTCCACTTCATACTAGATTCTGCCAAAATTTGGATCTTTTGTAGGGGCTAAGGGTGTGTGTGTGTGGGGGGGGAGGACACCTGGTGCTGCTTAGGGTTGGCTCCTGGCTCTGCATTCAGGAATTTACTACTGGAAGTGCTCAGGGGACCACATGGGATGCTATTCCCTGCAAAGAAGCCAGGTCAATAGCAAATGCCCTACCCACTGTACTATTGTGCTGGCCCCTAGAACTTTGTAATTTTTCACACTTTCACAAGTGACATCTTCCAGTGCCCCTATGCAGTCCCTCCACTCCCAGTGACCCTTGTCAGGGGTGGTATTGGGGGCAGAGCACAATCTCTGGGGACAGGGGATAGGCAGAGTCCTGGAGCTTTGAGCTGTCTCCTCCTCTTGAGCAGGGAGCTGGCAGTCTGTCGATCCCAGCTTTGGAGCAGCTGTGGGTGCCAGCCTGCCACAACCCTCTGTACCCTTCCTGAGCCTGTGCCCCAGGAGTGCTGTGGCTGAGGCCGCCCTGGGCCCCCTTAGATGTCCCGGCTTAGATTCCCTGGAGAACTGAGGGGGAGCAGGAAGGGGCTGTTGACCCTAGACTTAATGGCTTCTAGTCAAATTCCTGATGGGTCCTTTCTTCTGGGGAAGCTCGCGTAGGAACCACAGCTTGAAATAAGCCTGGCAGAAGGGGATATTGGCTGATAGGCAGTGTGCTGCTTAGGGAGTGGGAAGAGGTGTCTGGCCAGGATTTTGGGTGAGGTGGAGTGGTGAAACCAGTGGTTGTGTGTAAGTGAGTGGTGGAGAAGGTGGGTTTAGACATCTCTAAATATGAAGACATCTAGGTAGGGTCCAGGATGACCTAACTCTGGGGGTGTTCAACCCCCAGGACTGAGGATTCTCTTGGGAAGAGTTGTCCTGGGGTGAGGGTGTAGGGCTGGTGAGGCAGGGCTGGAGGTCCCATTCCCCTTCCACCCAGTGAGAGGATGGGTGTCCCCAGGATTCCTGAGTTGGCGGATTTCCTTTTTTTCCCTGTAGGCTTTCCTCCAAATAGACCCTGCCCAAAAGCTTTCTCTACTTCCTATTCCTCTTGCCTGTAGTTTCTTTCCTGGAGAATCGCTTTGCTCCTAGGGATTGCCCCCTCCACCTCCATCTTCATATACTTGCTTCCCTCTTACCCCCTCCCCTGGCCCCCAGCCCCTACCCAGCCCATCTCAGGGTTATCCCTTTCCAGCCCTGCCAGGTCTCCCCTTGGGCTTTTGGACTTCCAGACTCCTGATGTCCAAGGCAATTTTTCTCCCTACATTTTCCCCATCTTCTCTTCCTCCTTCTCCCCTTCCTGAAGCCCTTAGTTCTCCACTTCTCCCCAGTTCTCTCCCCACTGGGTCAGAAGCACCCTCTTGTCTGCTTTTGGGAAGTAAGGATCCATCCCGACTCAGAATTCAAACTAAGCAGGAGACTCCAGAGGCTTGAGAGAACCTTACAAAATTTTCCTGCTTGAAATTCTTAATTCCTCCTCTCCTACAACATTCTGATTTTGTTGTTGTTACTGGCTTTGAGATTGTAGCTGCGATGCCCGGTGGGGGTGGGGAACACTACTCTAGCTTTGTTCTCGGTGCTCAGGTTACTCCATCACGCTGTCTGGGGATCTTGCTCTGCCGGGCATCTAACCAGGCTGACTTCGGCATGGAAGCAAGTGCTCAGCCTGTTGAGACACCTCCTGTCTCCACACTTTGATTTTTTATCTGGATCACACCCTAAATCTGTCTACTCTTTGTTAGTTTTATAACAGGGCTGCCTGGTTAAATGCTGAAAGCCATGCCAGACTCTTATTTTCATGACAGGGTCACTCCACCTGCTAGAGTGGACATTCAGTTGTTGCACTTGCAGGGGAGGAAACAGGCCAACTGGTGTATGTGCACCTGGGTCCTACCTGGGTCTTTCCAGGGTCCCTCTGAGATTTGGCTTCCTCCTGATCTTACTAGCCTTGCCCACCATTGACTCCCAGAATGGGAGAGGACTTGGGGGTGTTGCTGGATCCTGGGGCCCTGGAGAAGAGCTTTTGGATGGATGGAGGCATGTGGCACTCTCAAGAGAGCTGGAATCTGGGGTAGTGGGGGTAAGCTGCCCAGAGCCTGAGTTTACTGTGGCTGAACTATGGCCTCACCATTTAGGATCATGTAAGCATGTTAAGTGCAGCTTTATGGTTTTAGAAACAGATTTATTGGGATGTAATTTACATATAACTCACACATTTGCAGTATGGACTGTCATTCTTCCCCTCACCCTATCAGGAATGAATCTAGGTCAAAACTCCACTGCTGAACTACACGCCAAACCCTGTACTGTCTGTAATGTTTTTATTGTATATATATATATATATATATATATATATATATATTGCTTTTAGGGTCACACCCGGCAATGCTCAGAGGTAACTTCTGGCTCTGCACATAAGAATTACTCCTAGCAGTGCTCAGGGGACCGAATGGGATGCTGGGTATTGAGATTAATTAATTATTTTAATTTTTTTGGTGGTGCTATGCCTGGCTGTGCTTAGGGGTTATTCCTGGCTTGGTATTTAGGGGGCCCATTTCCTGTGAGTTCAGGGGACCATGTAGTGCTACAGATTGAATCAAGGCCTCTCGCATGCGAAGCATGTGCTCAGCTCATTGACATCTTTCTCGGGCCTCTGTGATGTTTTTAGTAATTTCACAGGCACTAAAATATGTAGGTTATTTATAGATACACAATAAAATTTGTTTCTACATAAATTTTAGAACATGTCATCATCCATTAAAGAAACTTGTTCCCTCTGTCTGTTACCCCAACCTCCCATCACAACTTACTCCTAAGCAACCACCAATCTACTTTCTGCTTCTCTGGAATTGCCTGTTCTGGACATTTTCTATAAATGGAAGCATATAGTATATGATTGCATCAACCTCTTTCCTTTAGCATAATGTTTCAGAGTTCATTCATGTTGTAGCTTCTCTCAGAACCACATTCCTTTTTGTGACAGAATTACATTGTCAGGTCATCCTGAATTTGGTATTTATTTTTTACTAAAAGACATTGGATTGTTTCT